CTGAATGACTGCAGCAGAAAATACCATGTTATAGTTCTCAACTGTGCAAATGTCTTTGTCCTCCGTTTCTGCTCCTGTTTTTTAGATGCAGGATTATGTATGTTGTGTGACTCATTGCTGTTCTCCTGTTCTGTCTGCAGCTTGCTCCATTATGCTGTGCTTGTTCTCTTTCATAATAAAGTGTTGTTTACAAAATAGCTTTGTTAGTGTGTATGTAGAAAAAGTGTATTTATTGCACCTGAATCCACCCTGCTGAGCCTAGCTTTGTAAGGTCTCTCAGTTGATTCTGAATAGCTCCTTATGCTCAATGGCAGAAAGGCTTTGGGCACAGAATATTTATTCAAGAGATGAGGAAAAGGTATGACCTTTAAACAACTCTCCCCAACCCTCACAAATTATTTACTTTGAATGTTTTAGTAATATACCCCTTGGATTATTGTTACATGGCAACTCTATAACCAGCACTGCTTTTAGATTTGAAAAAAAAAAAGTAAGGTGCTGGAGGCAGTGCTCAGTTTTAGCAGGTGAGATTTACATCTTGGAGTACAGCCTGACAGACTTGAAGGGGGAGGCAGAGGAAACGTGCAGAGTTTTGAGGCGTATCTGTTGGGTTAGGTTTTAAGGCATTGCTACTAGATTTTCGTGCTCAAAATGAAGTTTCCAAGTACTGAAATGAAATCTTCATCCAGAGAGGCTGTTAGTAATGGTAGTTTGTTAGTAAGTGGGATTTGAAGGACGTAAGCCCTTCTGGTCAGAACCTTCTTACTCTCTTGAAGTGGTGGTAGTCTACTGCAGCAGTGGGAAGGCCCTGTGCATCACAGCCTCCCTTATCTTTATGAACCAAGGGCAGCCCTAGTATAAATCGTTCTACTTTGAAATTTTTTGGAGTGTTGCCTGTATACATGAGATCTGATTTTTGTGATGAAAAAGATCTATATGACATCTTCAGAAATGTAGGTTTGCAACCTCACTCGGAGAAAAAAAAAAATACTGTGAAGGCAAAAACCCCACGCAGGCCTAGGCCTTTGCAGCTTAGAAGTAAACTTCTGAAGTACATGTTTGGTTTTAATTTGAGAAATTGCTAACTTAAAATTACCATTCCATGTAATTTACAACAGAAGTTGATATTACAAAAAGCTATTTCTGCTAAAGCAGAATTTAGTGTCCAGAAAGGCAATTAAAATAACACTGACGAATATGCAGTGGGAAAGATAATCTCACATCAAAACCAAGGGAGCCAAAAAAGTTTGACCAACTGAGTAGGGTGACTGCCACACTCCTCCTGAATACTTCATCTCAGCTTTTCATGGTTTTGCTCAGAATTCCACAAAGTAAGTTTCTCGGCCTTTGCCAGGCTCCTCCCTAAATGCAGTAAGTATCCCCATTTTTCAGTTTAAAAAAACTAACAGCCAACACATGCAGGGAGATGCAAAAGCCTTTTTTCACATTTATGCAAAACACCAGATGTGTGTACATAAGTGGAAAGGTATGTGGGTGGGATCACGGGCTTGCATTTGTAACTTGCAGACAAAATCCTAACACTGTGGGTCCAAGTGGCTGTCTCAGAGTCATATGCACAGCCCGTTTCTGTGGCAAGGTTAAGTCTTTTTGGGGCAGTATGAGGTCTTTTGACTCTTCTTTTGCCTCAGCTGAATTTTGATTTCCACATCACTTTAGTGCTGGCCTCACTGCTTTCTTATTCATCAGACTGACAAAACTGTCATTGTGGATGCAGCTAAAAATATCTTAGACCACGACGGCACTTAGGTCCGCCTCAGCGTGTAGGCTCGCCGTCCTGTCGCTAAAGTGCTCCCGGTATAAGTGTGTCTCTACTAGACTGACACAGTTAGAAATCTTACTTCTGTGTGGTAGGCTGGAGTGGGGCAGGTGTGTTGATCTGGTGGCTGAGAAGGTTATGTTTCCTGACCCGACAGCTAGACGTAGGGTTGACCTGAGTTGCATATCCTTTTCCTGCTTCCCACGTGGGACCTGCGCTCCGAGTTGCGTCACTTCAATGGTAGCAGGGTAGTTCACCAAAAGAGAGTTCATGCTTTAAAGGTCAGCTTTCATAGAAGTGGGAAACATTGTTTCCCCCCCCCAAACTCCTATATGATGACACCATGAAATGTATCTGACCAGACAAAGGAGAACTCGGATCTCAGTCAGTACACAAGAATGTTTAATTAAGAAAAAGCCTTTAATAGGAGTCTTTGCTTTTAATCTTGTTACCTTTGCATATCCTTTGTGCTGTCATGTCCAGGGTAATTGCTACAAGTTGAGCAACAAAGTTCCTCCCTTCCCAGCCTTTCTCACTGCTGGTTTAAGAGCCTGTTTGAAGGTGGAGTATAAGAAGGACAAAAACTCCTGAGATGTTTTGGTTTTGCTTTTGCCCTAATTTTCTTGGTATCTCTGGTTGCAACTTGTGTTGGACAAACCTGTTTACTCAGTAGAAGTTTCTGTGTGCTGCTTGCTGCCAAATTTCTGGGGTTGCAGGCGTGCCTAGATAGTTAGAAGGATGAGTGGATCTCTCTAAATCCTCTTTTTACATTCTGTGGACTGTAACAGTAAAAAAAGACTGACCAAGCAAGAGACTGTGCATAAATGACTGCGCTGAACGGTCCCTGGATAACCTGTCACACACAGATACCAGTGTTTATTTTGCAAGAGGCAATGTGAAGGCTCTAAACCTGAAGGTCATAAGCCAAGGACAGGGATTTTGGAAGATTTAAAAAAACCGAATAAATTTAAACACCATCTATATTTTACAGCAATTTAGTCCTGTCTTCCCTCTTTCCCAGCTAAAAAACATATGCATTTCTATATGAAAAAGAAGTTCAGCTGGTCAGAGAACAAACTAAGATTATCCTGGTAAAAGTACAGTTTAACTGGGGATAGCATTAGTAAAGCTTGGCAAAGCTGCTTTTTGTCTGTAGCTGCCAAACTTTTTTTGAGTACAGTCATTCATTATTTCACCAAACTAAATAAAACATTGACCCTCAGGTAATCCCAGTGAGCAGAATTCCCCTGTGGTGATTTGGAACAGGTCGTGCCAAAAGGCAAGAAGACGAGTGAGCTGCACCGGTGCGACTCGGGGCTTGGCTCCCGCCGAGGGCAGCTGTTCGAGAGTGGTGTTTGCTGAAACTGCTCCTGGTAGACTTAACATTCAATACAAAAGCCCTTAGGAGTCAGCTCAAGGACACAGTGGCATCGCTTGCTTGCTTTGTGCAAGATGATAGAGGAAAAGGCAAAAGCTTGTGTCCAGTTCAAGAAAGTAGAAGAGTACCTCATTAAATGAATCTTAGCAAAGGTGAAACCACTTTTCCCCGTATTTTTATCACACTTTTGCCAGGAGTGGTGAAGTCCTAGGTCTTGTATATGTTTGGGTTTTTACGCTCTTGTATTTATGACCTCTTGCCACACCTCTGGGTCTGTTGTACTTTTAAATTCTGGACAAAATGTCAGCTCAGGATGCAGGCCTTCAAATAGATTTAAATTTTATTATTTTAAACTGAGAGTATTGAAATTGTGAACAGAATCATCTAGGTGATCAGGCAGTATCTTCATCATGCAACAGAAATTTTTCTCCGTTCCTCAACTTACACAACTCCATCTTCAGTTTCTGCAGACTTCTGGTAAATACTCAAGGTTCTCTCCTCTCTCCTGTGTGTTTGGTCTGCTACGCTGTTGTCCATTGAGTAGCTGCTTGGTCCAAGCCCAGAGGGTGCCACACTGACAACTCTCTGCCCTCTTTCTGGGAGCATAACTTAACCCAGTGTAACTGTGAATGCTAAGGACTTCTCGGGGTTGATCTTTTACTACAGGCTGTTCTAGAGAACAGTAATGATCTCACAAAAATGAGCCTTTGTTTAGTTGCATGTTTGATTAATGGCAGGCTTTTGGCCTCCCAATTGGACAGCTGGGTGTTTTGTTGCCGACTCCAGCTCTGACAAGGTATAGATGCTAGGGCTGGGCATTGTAATCTTGAAAGTGAAGCACGTTGCAGGGAATAGCATGGCCCTTGCAAACGTGTTGATCTTAATAACTTTAGCTGTGTTCTTCTGAGTTCTCTTTCTTTTGGTTTGCTAGTATCAATTCTGGTTATTTTTTTTTCCCCCTCCAGAATTAAAATAAACACGTTTGTTGCATTAACTTTTTTCTTTTCCAATAAAAAACACCTAAGCCCCCCAAACCCCAGCATCTGTCTGGAGCTCCATCACGTATGTACGGTTTTGCTGGGAGATGAACCTCTTGAAGAGGATTCAGCGTTGACTGACTCATTGCCTCCGTATCTGCCTTCTGTCTGAGAGCTGCCAACGCCTCCCACACTTTGCAAATTCTAATCTAATCTTGATTCTATATCTTGATTACTTGTCAAATTAGAATCTGCTTATACAAGAAAAGCATTGTATCATCAATAGTCAAAATATGTCAGAATCTGCAAGTGCAATGTATACTTTGTTGTTTCTTCTTTAATTAAAGTTGACCCCATTGTACTTATTGTTTTAAAGCACAAATATTTGGTTTGTTTTGTGTTGTTTTTTGGATTCTTCTCAAATTCAGATGTGCCTGAAGGTTGATCTTGAAGGGGAGAAAATACTGAGCCACTAATAGTTACTGAATTTCCAAGATTACTTTCCTCGGTTCCTGCTCTTTCCCGAGTTCCTCCAAACTCTGTTGAATTTAGTTGTGTCGTGTTTGTGCCAGGTAATAGCCTGGAGAAGAGCCCTGGCTGTGATATAGTGTCACAGTTTGACACTAGTGTGTTAAAACGCCTGATGGTGCTGGGGTCTTGAGTATAAAACAAATCAGAAAGCACTTGCAGGAAGTTTTTCAGTGCTCTCAGTTCCCCCCTTCCTTCCTTTCCCCTGCCTTCACATTGAAACTGCTGTTAGATGTTCCATATTAAAATGCTAGGTTTTCCATATTTAACTTCTTTTTTTTTTTAATTTTAAGCTCAGTGGTATCGATTTTTCTCATTGCATGTTCTCTGAATCTCTGGCAGAAGTCCTGGAGGGGATTTGGGAGCGAAGAAGAAGAAGAAGAAGCAGAAGAGAAAAAAGGAGAAACCAAATTCTGGAGGCACCAAATCAGACTCTGCATCTGACTCCCAGGAGATTAAAATTCAACAGCCTTCAAAAGTGAGAGCCTTGTTCTGTTTTAATCTGTGCTTGCTTTCTAGTTTAATTTTGTGTGTTGCTTTTTGTAAAAGTGAGTTTGTAGCTCTGCCTTAACACATCAGAATTGTGCAAATAGTTACCGTCCTGAATAGAGACAGGAGCAAGGTAAAACCTTGCAGACTGTATGAAGTTAGCTGGAGAGTCTTTGTCGCCACCACGGTGCTGTACTGTGAGAAAGCAGAGGAGGAGGTGTTTTGTCTTCCTTTTCCAGCAGCTAGAACTCATGCGAGCAGCAGCTTCGTCGCAGGGTATCTTAGTCTGCAGTGATAATGCTTGTGAATAGGTTTTGTGCTTGATGAATTACGTTTAGTTTAGCCACCATCTAACCTGGCTTAGTGCAGTTTCAGGAACTTGTACAGTGCGGTGCTGTCTCCTGGCGACCGTCAGCAGTAGGAGGGGAGGTGTACCTGCTGTGCTAAGCAGAGTCTCATTGGGGCAGACAAGCAGCATGTCATCTTGCATAAAATGCGGTGATCTCTAACCTGGGGATAGAGACTGCAGAAACTTTTTGCTATCTGAAAGGCCTGTGCTGTAAATAAGAATGCAAAATCACGTGAGGGGATGTATGATCTCTGTGGGCTTTGTGATAAAATAGCATTGTCTACGTGCTTTTGACTACCTGTTCTGAGTGAATGGTGAATAATATGATGTGGTGGCTATTTAATATACAGCTTTTGTCTCAAATCTGGGAAGCAGAACTGAAGTTTATGACATGATGATAAGAAAGTGTATGGGCCACTGAGCATGTTGAATTAGTTATATTTGCTTTATCGGATTAATGTGGAAAAGTTACACTGCTGTACCATCAGTACTATTTGTCCTGTAAGATTTGTCACGTACATTGGGGCTAACATCTAATTTCAGGGAAAAAAGTTGTGTTCTGTCTCATTAGCATACCGACAGATTTTGTGTTGTTCCTTTAGGTCTTCTCTGTGTCACCCCCATTGCTTTGAATGGGCACATTTGGCACAGGGGACACTTTAAAATATGTAGAGAGCTCTTAATTACCTTCTGATCTCACCACATGTTTTGATACTGTGTTTCTATAAAGCAGCATGAATTGCTAATACAAGGAGACTGTTTGTAAGTGATGACCAAGTAACCTCAAACTCTGTTACACTTGGAGTGAGGTCAGTTTTAATGTTAGCGTAAAGACATAGTTCATTGCTGCAGTATGCTGGCAGTTCCTGGGTTCCCTCCTGACCTAACTTACTGTTTCATATGTTGCCTCTGACTGCATTAAGAGAAAGCTGCTCCACTTTTTTGTTCTCATGTACAAGATTTTAGTCCTCAAGCACCTTGCAGCCTTGCACACCATTTCTCTGGCACTGTGTTTTGCAAATGTGGAAGCCTATCCTTGTTCCAAGCATGTACTTAGAATGGCAGTCTTCATGATTATTTTACTGTTACAAGAAGTTTAGTCAGTTTGTTAGCAATGTTACAAAAAACCCCCCACAAAAGCTCTTATTTAAGTCTTTCTCTCAAGGTCTAGGCAGCTAAACGATTCTACTATTCTCATACGGCTTCCACTTTTCTCTAGTTGCAAATGCATCAGCGTTGGTTGTTTTTTTTCACCTTTTGTGCTGTGTTCCAGGTGTACCCACTAATAAGTAGATGAGTTTGTCTTAGACAACTTTCCTGTTTTAGATTTTTTGATCTGGATCAGTGTGGAGACATGTATTTATTTTCTTTGCTACTCAAGTGATATTTAGATTTTGTATGCCTTGTGCTATGTGAAATATATTATAGAAAAAAGGCTTTTAGCATTTGCTTGCTCTTGGTTGAAAAGAGGTTTACAAGATATTTCAGAGGAAAGTAAGATTGTACACCTTAACTCTAAGAGAATATATGCAGGATCATCAGGTAATGCTCAATGGGGCTTCTGAACTCATTGAAAATGATTTTGAAAAAAGATTTTGAAGTCAGATGAGTTTGTAAACATGGGTACCAACCCGGAGATGGGAAAACAGAACAGTGAGTCTCCTTGACTTCTCACTCTCTTATTTGTGATATTGGACTTTTTGAACACTGGCGTGAGTGTAACCACAGCAAAAAATGCTTGTTATCGTTGTATGCCTACCATGACCTTTAGGACACTTTGCTGCCCATCTCACAAGACTTTGATCTCTCCCTATTACAAGTCCCAGTGATGTAGACTGTCTACTCTGGCACAAATGAAGCTTGCCAGGTCAGCAATATTATTGGTCATTACTGTAGTCACCAATGGCCTACACAACATAGTAACCGGATAGTAAGTTAGATTGGAAGGGACCTCTGGAGGTCTTTTGACCAACCTCCTGCTTAGAGCATGTGCAACTACATCAGGTTGATCTCCAAGGATGCAGACTCCACAACCTTTGTGGGCAACCTATTCCAGTGCTTGACTACACTTGTGGTTAAAAAAAATAGTAAGTCCTTACATCTAAATGGATTTTGCTGGTTTGCATCTTGTTTCCATTGTTTCTTGTCCTATCATTGTGCTCTTCTGAAAAGACTTGGCTCAATTTTCTTTATATCCTCCCATTAGGCAGCAAGAAGATTTCTCCTACTCCCTTAACCTTCTCTTCTTAAGGCTGAACAAACCAAGGTCTTTCATCTTCTCCTTGTATGTCATGTGCTTCAGCCCTGCTGTCATCTTGATGGCCCTCCATTGAACTTGGTCCACTTTGTCAGTGTTTTCCTTGTAATGGGGAATGCAAAACTGTGAGATGTGATCTCAGGGCTGCCAGATACAGGAGAAGATTTGCTGGCCAGTCTTACTGGTACAACCCAGTATGCAGCTGTCCTTTGCTGGCCAGCAGACTGCTGGCTTGCATTCAGCTTTCTGCCCACCAGAACCTTCAAGTTTTTTTCTGCAAAGCTGCTTCTTAGCCAGTCCGTGCTGACGTCTGCCATTGCCTGGGCTTTTTCTGTCACAGATGCAGGACTTTGTGTTTGCCTTTGTCAAATTTCATGAAGTTTCTGTTTCCAGCTTGTCAAAGTAGCTTTGAGTAGCAGTTCTGTGGTTCAGCGTATCAACCATTCTTCCCAACTTCGTATCATCTATGAACTGTCCTGTGCAGCCTGCTGTAGGTGACCCTGCTGTGGCAGGGGGGTTGGACTAGATGACCCACAGAGGTCCCTTCCAACCCCGAACATTCTGTGATTCTGTGAACTTGCAGAGAAAGAACTCGTTTTCACATCCAGATTGTTAAACAGTATTGACCCCTGAGTTCTCAAAATCCTCCTGCCCCTTGCGTTCTTGAAGATGGGTGAGACATTTCACTTTTTCCAGTCATAAGAAACCTCCACCAATTGCTATAACCTTTCGAACTCGATATGTGCTAGTTGCAGTAACATCAGCCAGCTTCCCCAGCACCCTCGCACACATCCTGTCTGTTCTTAGGGATCTGTGCATGATTAGTTTGCTCAGTGGTCCCTAACTTTTGCTCCTGCTGTGGTTAATGGCAGTATCACAGACTGTGCTGCAAGGCTGAGGGACATCAAAGGTCTGAAGTCAGATCTTGTCACCAAAACTGAGGCAAAAAAAAAAAGCATTGTGTACCTCAGCCCTGTTTGCACAACACTGCTGTCTTGTGCTGTGCGGGAGATTTCCCCTAAACTGATGTTGAACAAAATCACTCTGCTTTCTAATTTGTATGAAGTTCTGTGTATTTTTTTCTTGTTTTCCATTAAAGGAAAACAAAAAGGGTTGAAAGTATAACTTCTTAACCAGGCTGATCTCTGAACATTTTGAAAGGAAAGGAGATTCCTCCAGATGTCCCTAGCCATGTTATATTTAGTACCAGAACATGAACTTTTTACTTTTATGTATGCTGGTAAGATCTTTTTAGAACATTACATCTTTTTTTTACATTTCTGTTTTCTTCTTCTTAATGTAGAAAAAACATGAGAGACTTAAAAGAAATGTAAAAATAAATTACGGTTTGTCAATATTTAGGATTTCATAATGTACTGGTAAGATTTCAGAATATATCTAGTAGCATTAGAATAATTTCTATCAGGCTAGTGTGTAATGGACAAATTGATTTTTAGTGGAGAAAAGTAACTTATGTCACTGTAATCTGGATCTAGAAATAGGGTAGGTCTTTTTATGCTGCAATAGTGTTGCTCTGAAGTGTGTAAATATGTTAATTTACAACTACTCAAATGATAGGTGTTTAAAGCCTGCTCACAGGTAAAATTTTGCAATACTTAGATTAATGAAAGAAATTGCATAATGTTTAGAGAGTACAAATTTTTATTATAAATAGAAAATGATGGCCTGCTTGAGCTACAGGCAGGGATTTTTACTTGTTTGTGACTGAGGATACTAGAGGCAGATCCCATCCAAATTACGCTTTACATCATTATTATGTGTAATTTATGGCAGTTTTTCAACACAGGAATCCTAGGAAGAAAGTGAAATATGGAAATAGTGATCCATTGATACTCAGTAAAAGAAAAAAATCTGGCTTGAAATCTCTATGCAGAATTGCTTAAAATTTTCCAATGCGTTTGAGACTATTACTGCAAATGTATTTTTTGCACTGCAATCTGGGAAAACCTGAGCACAAGCATGCTGTTAGGATGCCTCAGAACAGGGTTTATCACTTGGGAGATAACAAAACAAAACAAATAAATAGATTAAAAAGAGAGAGAGAGAGAAATCCCTTTAGATTTAGAAGTCTGTTACCATTATTCCTCTGTACTTTCCTATGCAGGTAAAATTCTCATTCCAGTTACACTTACTCAGAGTGATCAAGTGAGGGTTTAACAGCTCAGTTTAGAGGTGCTTAGCCTTAGGTTTTATGCTTTTCAAATTATTTTTCTATAAAGATTTTTCAACTTTTAAGTGGCAAGTTGGTTTATTTAATGTCTGTCTGCTTCTGTCAGTTAAAATTATCTTTAGTTGTGAGTGTTGGCACAGTTAGTGGCAAGATGCTTAACTCCTACATATGATACAATGCAGAAAGTACCCACTGTAATAATTGCAAGCTAATAGAAGGCAGATACAATACAACAAAGGTTAAAAAGTGGATATTTGTATCAATAGAGTGTACCTGCGATACTAAACCATAGTGAATTTAAATATTATTTCATGTTGTATCTGTACAGTACAACTTCAAACATCTCTGTGTGTACCAATGGTATCTTTAGATTGTTAGACATCTAAGCTGATCTGCTTTGTGCAGTTTTATTGTATTTTACCAGGGCGGGGGCATGGAATATGAGAAGCTTTTGATTGTGATATTGGTATTTGTCTGCATGTATTTGTGTTAAAACCACTGAAGTTTTATAGTTAAATGTAAGCACTACTCAAAACTATTACGTATTTTGTGAAGTTACTTGTCTGTTCCCCACCTAACTTTCTACCCTCCTGCCTCTGAAGGTTATACCTCAGCTAACCATGATGGGAAGAGTACATGAAAGAATACATAACAGTAAAATAAGTGAACTTGTTTGTACAACTTGTTCAAAGTAAATGTACTCAGTAAACTTCCTCTTCCATTTGTTTCTGTGTGCAGAATCCAGCCATTCCAATGCAGAAGCTTCAAGACATCCAGAGAGCAATGGAGCTGCTCTCTGCATGCCAAGGCCCAGCAAAGAATATTGATGAGGCTACCAAACGTAAATACCAGTTTTGGGATACGCAACCTGTACCTAAACTTAGTAAGTTTAACTGGACTTGGGCATAAGATCTGTCTTGCTGACCACGGGAAGAATGTGTGCCAGCTGTGTGGCGTGTTCTCTAAAATGGGTATGAAGTTGGACTGTGTGTGGTAGAGATCCTTAATCTTTTGTGTAGTTTATGTGGAATTCTTGATGTTCTTTAGGAAAGTGCTTGCTCCTGCCCCCTTTCCCCCCAAATGATGTGCAAGAAAATACGGTGTTAATACATCTCATTCTGACGTTCTCTATAAAAATGGGAAATGTTATTTAAATAGCATTTCTTTGTATATTTTAGATCTGAACTCTTGAACCACAGAACGTAGAAGTCTTTTTCACTTCAGGGAAAATAAGAACTCTTTAAGTGGTGACAAAGAGTAAATATTGATTATTTATTCATTTATTTTCCCTTAATTTTTTTTTTAATAGATAGATTTGCTGTCACAGAGATAATGACTCTCCTGCTGCAGGTTACACTGTTCTCATGCAACTTTAAGTGGATAATGGCGTTTCTCTCATGTTCACGTGCTTCCTCCGCAATGTACACTGCCTTGAAGACATGCTTTCTCAGAGTCCATTCTCTGTTCTTGGTACCAAGTGAGATGGTGAAGTGGCCTCTCCTTGCCTTTAATTTTGTAAGGAATTTGGCAAATTACTTTTTATACTAATCTGATCGCTGATAACACAGTTGGTAAATCTTAGTCTTTGTTGGAAAAGATAGTTGCTGACTCTCTTGCTTTTTCTGAATTGCTTTCTGAACCTTCTTCTTCCCCCATCATTATCTTCGAGTTAAGCAGTTGCAACTCTTCAGTGCCAACAAAACTTGGGGGCCCCACAAGTAAAGCAGTCTCAGCACAATAGCTGTCATTCTTCTGTTCTGCAGATTTCTCTCCATGGCATTGGAGACTGGTGTAGAATAAGCAGAAATAAGATAGAGTCTACAGCACAGGAGCACTCTGCTCTCTCAGCAGGGCAGCATTTCACATTAATCCATTTCTATAGCTTAATCCACAGTGATCTCATTTGTCCCTGACTTTCTTGCATAGAGAAGTCCAGAGCAAAGTGCCTGGGTGCAATATTTTCCACTGGATTGAACTGACCTGCCCTGGCTCTTCTCCATACAAACTCTGTCCAGATACCTCTGTAAAGTAATGGTAGTAATTGTCACAGTAATCCTGCCTAGGTGGAGGAAGAGCCTAGCCAAAATGAGTTGGTGTGTAAAACAGAAAATACTCTGGCTGTAATGAAGCTTTTTCAGAGCTAGTTCAGGTGTCTGCACAGCAGTTCCAGGAGTTCAGTTCGGGTTAGTCAATATATCTTACAGCACTTCTATAAAGATGAGAGTCTGTCACTTGCCAGCCTAAAAGAACCAATACATTGGCTCTAAAAATTATTTGTTAGTGTTGTTCAGTAGAAATATGCTTTGTTGAATTTGGCCAGCAGAGGTTTTGTTCAACAGTGTTTATGAATTGTTTCTTGATCCCATTGATTTGTTTGGGGTTTTTTAAGCTTTTCCTTTATCTGCTGAGTGAACATACTGGGAAGTCTTCGTAGCCAGCATATCAAATAGTGGTTAGGTGGAAAAAATAATGTGTTGATTCAAGAAATAGCTGTAGGGGTCTTTGCACTAATTAACTTCAGAATCCTTCTGTGTTCGAGTTAGGCCAAGTCTGCCATGTAGTAACATTTAGGCTGTTGATATTTCCCAGAGTTTGCATAAAGATGCTGGTAATGGTGGCCTTCCAAACTGGACATCAGGCCATAAATATTTGTCAGGATTGCCCATCATTTGGGGAAAGTTTATACTACAAATGAACATTTGACTTTCTAGAGCTCAATGATGGTGATGATAAAGTTGAGTGTTTATGGGTAAGAATCAGCGGGAAGGGCCAACAGATATCGTGGTGGGAGTCTGTTATAGACCACCCAACCAGTATGAAGAGGCATACGAAGTATTTATAAGCAGCTGGGCGAAGTCTCACAATCATTAGCCCTTGTTCTTGTGGGAGACTTCAACTTAGCGAATGTCCACTGGAAATACAGTACAGTGGAGAGGAAACAGTCCAGGAGGTTCCTGGAGTGTATGGAAGATAACTTCCTGACACAGCTGGTGAGTGAGTCTACCAGGAGAGGTGCTCCGCTGGCCCTGTTGTTCACGAACACACAAGGACTTGTGGGTGACATGATGGTTGGAGTCGATCTTGGGCACAGCGATCATGAAATAACAGTTTTTTGATTCTTGGAGAAGTAAGGAGTGGGTTAGCAGAACTGCCATCTTGGACTTCCAGAGGGCAGACTTCGGCCTGTTTAGGAGCCTGGTTGACAGAGTCTCTTGGGAGGGAAAAGGAGTCCAGGAAGGCTGGACATTCTTCAAGAAGGAAATCTTACAGGCGCAGGAGCAGACCGTCCCCATGTACCGAAAGATGAGGTGGTGGGGAAGAAGACCGGCCTGGCTAACCAGAGAGCTTTGGCTCAGGAAAAAAAAAGAGAGTTTGTGGCCTTTGGAAGAAGGGGCAGGCAACTCAGGAGGACTACAAGGATGTTGTGAGTTTATGCAGGGAGAAAATTAGAAGGGCCAAAGCCCAACTGGAACTTAATCTGGCTACTGCCATAAAAGACAATAAAATATGTCTATAAATACATTATCAACAAAGGGAGGGCGAAGGAGAATCTCCATCCTTTTTGGATGCAGGGAGAAACTTAGTGACAAAGGATGAGGAAAAGGCTGAGGTAGTTAATGCCTACTTTGTCTCAGTCTTGAACAGTAAGACCAGTTGTTCTCAGGATACCCAGCCCGCTGAGCTGGAAGACAGGGATGGGGAGCAGAATGAAGCCCCCCGTAATTGACGAGGAAATGGTTAGTGACCTGCTGCACCACTTAGACACACACAAGTCTATGGGGCTGGATGGGATCCCTCCAAGGGGACTGAGGGAGCTGGTGGAAGTGCTGACCAAGCCACTTTCCATCATTTATCAGCAGTCCTGGCTAACTGGGGAGGTCCCAGTTCACAGCAAATGTGACACCCATCTACAAGAAGGGCCAAAAGGAGGATCCGGGGAACTACGGGCCAGTCAGTCTGACCTTGGTGCCAGGGAAGGTTGTGGAGCAGATCATCTTGAGCACTGTCACTGGGCACGTATAGGACAACCAGGCAGTCAGGCCTAGTCAGCATGGGTTTATGAAAGGGAGGTCCTGCTTGACTAACTTGATCTCCTTCTATGATAAGGGTCCTCTGTCTGCTGGAGAAACTAGCTGTTCATGGCTTGGATGGGTGTACACGTTGGTAGAAAAACTGGCTGGGTGGCTGGGCACAAAGAGTTGTGGTGAACGGAGTTAAATCCAGCTGGCAGCCGGTCATGAGTGGTGTTCCCCAGGGCTCAGTTTTGGGCCAGTTTTGTTTAATATCTTTATCAACAATCTGGACAAGGGGATCGAGGGCACCCTCAGTACGTTTGCAGATGACACCAAGTTGGGTGGAAGTGTTGATTGAGGTTAGGAAGGCTCTGCAGAGGGATCTGGACAGGCTGGATCAATGGGCCAAGGCCAACTGTATGAGGTTCAACAAGGCCAAGTGCCGGGTCCTGCACTTGGGTCACAATAACCCCGTGCAATGCTACAGGCTTGGGGAGGAGTGGCTGGAAAGCTGCCTGGCGGAAAAGGATCTTGGGGTGTTGGTCGACAGCCGGCTGAACATGAGCCAGCAGTGTGCCCAGGTGGCCAAGAAGGCCAAGGGCATCCTGGCTTGTGTCAGGAATAGTGTGGCCAGCAGAAGTAGGGAGGTGATCGTGCCCCTGTACTCGGCACTGGTGAGGCTGCACCTCGAGTACTGTGTTCAGTTTTGAGCCACTCACTACAAGAAGGACACTGAGGTGCTGGAGTGTGTCCAGAGATGGGCAACAAAGCTGGTAAGGGGTCTGGAGAACAAGTCTTATGAGAAGCAGCTGAGGGAGCTGGGGCTGTTTAGTCTGGAGGAGGCTGAGGGGGGACCTTCTTGCTTTCTACAACTACCTGAAAGGAGGTTGTAGTGGGGCGGGTGTTGGTCTCTTCTCCCAAGTAACAAGACAAGAAGGAATGGCCTCAGTTTGTGCTAGGGGAGGTTCAGACTGGATATTAGCAGAAATTTCTTTACTGAAAGGATTGTCAAGCATTGGAACAGGCTGCCCAGGGAAGTGGTTGGGTCACCACCCCTGGAGGTGTTTAAAAGACATGTAGAAGTGGTGCTTAGGGACATGGTTTAGTGGTGGACTTGGCAATGTTGGGTTTATGGTTGGACTCAATGATCTTAAAGGTCTTTTCCAATCTAGATGATTCTATGATTCTGTGATTTGGCAGGAGCTGCTCCATAGAAGAGGAATAGCTGCTGTTTATAGCTGTACACCGAGGGACCAGAGTTGTAAAGGGAGGGGAAGAAAGCATGTAGGATTTTAGGAATAAGTTTCACATTTCACCAGCACCCCTTAAATGCTCTGGCTTTGCCATGCCACTGCTCCAGAGTAGCCCTGTTGAGTTCAGGTCTGTTCAAGTCAGTGGTAAACAGGATCCGAGCCACAGTTTGTTAACTGTGAGTACAACATGTCTCTCACGATGAGGTCGTGGACCTCGTGGCTGCGAAGTGTTGTGCATGTGCTGGTAAATTGCTGTCCTGTGTTACAAAATACTGGGTATCAATTGAGGTAGAGTAGTTCTGTGCATGGTATTCTGATGTCATTAGTCTGAATGTGATCTGTGAGACTGAACAGTATGAGCTAATAATACTAATTTTTTCCAGCATTTTTTAAAAGCTTCATGTTCCTATCACATAGTTATGAGAACATACACAATGAGGGTTAAGTGCAGTTGCACTAGCAAGCAAGCAAGGTAACTGTTCTTATATTTTTTTCCTTTTTTTCCCCCCTTCTCCTCTCTAAAAAGATGAAGTTATAACTTCACATGGTGCAATTGAACCAGATAAGGACAATGTCCGCCTAGAGCCATATTCTTTGCCACAAGGTTTTATGTGGGACACGTTGGATCTTAGCAATGCTGAAGTTGTAAGTAAAACAATTTTTATGTGTATCTAAAATCACTGAAGTTCATTCTGATTGATGGGTGTGGATAAATATTTGGATTTCTTTGTGTGTGTTTTCAGCTGAAGGAGTTATACACACTGTTAAATGAGAATTATGTAGAAGATGATGATAATATGTTCAGGTTTGATTATTCACCTGAATTTCTTCTGTGGTGAGTAGTAAGTTCCACATTCTGCTCTGGCTGAAGTGCAAAGAAGGCTGTTTTTATTACATTTTCTTAGGCAGTAATTTGTAATTATTTCTGTCATCAATTCTAGGGCGCTGCGTCCTCCGGGCTGGTTACTCCAATGGCACTGTGGGGTTAGAGTGTCTTCAAACAAAAAACTGGTAGGATTCATAAGTGCCATTCCTGCAGATATTCGTATTTATGACAGGTAAAATCCACCATTACTTTTGTATCTGTAAAAGAATAACACCATGAAACAAATCTTAAACTGGTATCCATTGCTACAGAGAGCTTAAAAAGAGAGGAGGCTCACTAAACATAAAGAGAAGAATCCTGTGTATGTAGCAGAGACTTTTTTTTACTCTGCTCTTCCCCCCCCCCCCCCCCCCCCCCCCCAAAAAAAAAAAAACAACTTGTGGGCTCCTTATAATGAAGACTAGTAGTGCATATTTAAGGAATTTTCTTGTTGATAGATGATACAGATAATGATATAGAATTTTCTGACCCTACTGGAAAGCACTTCAAGGCTAGTCAGTCAGCTGGACTTCCTTGGCCAGCGTCTTCGTACGCTGACAATCATAAAGTATTATGATACCACATAGCATGTGCTTAGATGCCATTCTGCATCTTACAGTGAGACAAGTGGTTAAGTCTTCATAGAGCTCTGAAAAAGGAGGGCTGCAAACACCTTAGACACAGCTTGCATATTGCACAATTTGCCATTGCAGTTGCAATATCATAGATTGGTATTTGTTGCAGATGTACTTTGGCACAGGCCAATTTATTTTTACCTCAAATTCTTCTGTCACAGCATGGAAAATACAGTTATGCAAATGAAAATATGCAATATTTTCTATAACTTTTCCACTATTTCATGTCCTTTTAGTGTGAAGAAAATGGTAGAAATCAATTTTCTGTGTGTCCATAAGAAATTGAGATCTAAACGGGTAGCACCTGTACTGATTCGGGAAATAACCAGAAGAGTAAACCTGGAAGGAATATTTCAGGCTGTTTACACTGCTGGAGTGGTACTCCCCAAACCTGTGGCTACTTGCAGGTAACCTAGGTGATGTTCATAATAATATCGGTTCCTATAGCAGTCATTTTAAAGAACATTGTATATAATTGGCTAGAAACAGTAAAAGCATAAAATCCAAAGAAATTAAATGTTGTGGCCTTGACTAACCTGAGGGCCTCAGTGTTTGTCAGGGTGGGTTTTTTTTTTTAATATCTATCTTCCTCCCCCCCCCCCCCACACCCTTGGATAAAACAGCTTCTCAGACTAAAATCTAATTTTGGGGGTTGTTTTATCGACCTTTAAATAGAGTAACAGATGTTTCTGTTGACCTTCTGGTGGAAGCCATGCTAGCAGTGACAACATTGTATACCTGTGTTTTTCAAGTGGTGTGTTTCGCTGCTGGGAGACTTCCCTGGTTGCTTGCCAAAGATGACAGAGCTTTTCTGGGAATTGTATGATTTGCTTTTTTGAAATACTTTCATCTTTCCTGGAGACAGGAGGACTTGACTGGCTTTTGATAAAGATGGGAAAACTGTCATGTGAGAAGAGTTGTGTGTAATCAAGCTTAATTTTGTTTGCTTGGAGTGGATTTTATTTATACTGGGAAAAGTTCAGTTCAGCAGTATTAGTTCAGCTGTCTGCCCTTCTGGTGGACAGGGTACTTTTTGATTTGAAATTGTGTTTGTACCTATCAATGCCAAAGATCCTGTAAGTTTCTGTAAGGAAGGATGGGGAAAAAAAAAAAGCCACGCCGTGTTAGAGTAACCAGGGATGTTCTGTTGCACAACAATCTCCTAGGAAGAGGAGATCTTGTTGAACAAACTACTTAGACCTGAGCAGAGGGTCCTGTCTGTGGAGGAAAATAGATATTACCATGTAAATATGGTGAGATTGTCAGGGCTATGACAAGTACTAAAATGTTTAGCCCTGTGATTACTCATTCTGTAATAAAAAGCATTTGCTTAGAATCAAAATTGGTGATAGCAGGCCTGTTTAAAAGTTATTGTTTGGATATAGCTTTTCCTTACCTCTTGCTGCACAGACTTCTTACAGACATAGTACACACTTGCTTAGAAACAAATTTGGAGAGAAGGAGCAATGCGAGAAAACAGGGAAATGGATGCAAGTAAAGCTGACACTTCGAATACTATTTAATCTCTTTATTAATTTTATTTCCAGGTATTGGCATCGATCACTCAATCCCAGAAAACTGGTGGAGGTGAAATTTTCGCATTTGAGTAGAAACATGACTCTACAAAGAACAATGAAGCTCTACAGACTTCCTGATGTAAGCAGTATGACTTCTAGAGAATCCCCACAGTTATTGTGAGGCCCAAAATAACCTTCCATCTGTCTCTGAGAGCACAGGCTTTTCTATGGAATGGCAGTGCATGCAGGACATCAAAAAAAACAAAAACCCAAAACATCTCTGGTTGATGAAAAAAGACCTTAAGGGCTATGCTAAACAGAAGAGACTATTGCTGGAAATGTAGATGTGTATATGGAGAAAATATACATTTTGACCTAAAAGCCTGACCTTGACTTCATAAGCATATGGGATCTGAGCTGAAGATGCGTAAGACAATTCTTGGTATGATTAATCTGATCGAAGATTATTGGAACAGAAAATTAACAGTTCATGTCTTAAAATTCTCAGAGAAGTCCATCAGAAAGTTGGCTGAGTACAGTGGGATTGATTCCACTCGCAGCTTTTTCTGTTGTCAGAGAATGTTGTTCTTCTGCAATGAGCACGCTCAGCAAAAGCCGCCTCAGAATGTTGTGTGCCGTTTATTTGCATGGTCTAGCAAAAAAAAAAAAAGTGTTCTGCCATAGCTAGGTTAGTTAAAAATATTTTTTCTCATGTTTGCAGGTAATAGTTAGGCTGGCAAAAAGCCTTAGGATGTGTTTCCATTATAGGGCAAGTCACTGTAAGTAGTCTGAGGTGCACTATTAAAAAAATCTCATTGCTGTAATTAATAGCCTGTAGAAGCTAGTCTAAGCTATGACTGGAAACAATTTCTTTGCTTGTAAAAGCTACCTTTCTATTTGGAGGGATTGCAGAAGATCCTTTACCTGTAGCATATCAGTCAACCTTTTTTATGTAAAGAAACCCTCCTTTTTGATTAAAAAAAATAGTTTTTTCCTCACTCGTAGTACTTTGTAATGATTTATCTGGCTTTGGAGAATTGCATCTGTTGGTTATACTTAGCTTGATGGCACAGGTTCTCTTACTACTTAAATATATGGGTAATACTCTAAGCACTCCTTGGTGTAAAGCAAGGCTTGATCTGAACTCTTGCTGCTGTCAGAGAGACTTGTTTCCTGTGCTGCCTGCCTGCTACCCGGGCCTGCACGTGCAGGTTCTCCCTTGCGTCCAGGGCAGCAATTTTCAGAGCTCAAGAATTAATAACCAAATTAATGAGGTTTTAATCTTGGAGAGCTAAATATAGTTTCTGTCAAATCTTGAAGACATTTTTAATAGTCTAAAAAAGTGCAGTAGACGATTTCAAATATAGGTTTTGGTGGCAACTCTAGTACTGTTTCTCATGGAAACACTGCAGGAAAAGAATAGTTTGAAGAATAAGGATCTTACATACAATACAAAAAGCATAACTACAGAGAATCATTAGGAACAACAGCAATTGTACCCTGATCATCTTCCCTTATCATGAAAGTCATATTTCAACAGAAAAATAAATTACAGAAAACAAAGGATACATCATTTCTCATTCATAAAATACAGCTAAGGCAAACATACTGTACAGAGAAGTGCAAATAGAAGATAGGTGCTTTGAAAATCAACTTTTAAAACTGTTTGTTTATTTTTAGATTGGACTTGGGAGCTTCTCCTGTGGAAAATAAAGATTTAATCTTTGTGCTAATGTTTTTTCTTTTTTAGTTCTTGTGCTTTGGATTTTCTTGGTGTTTTTTTCCTGAGAAAGGGTTCAAGTGCTGTTGAGGATCTTTATCGTCGGTTTCAGGCTGTTGTCGTAAACAATACTGTCACACAAATTTGTTCCTTCAGGCCACACTGTCCTGTTCCTCAGCACCAAACAACGTTTCTTGTGTTTCAACTTCTTTTCTTAGCATCCTTGGAATAGTGGTGCCCCTGGGAGCTCATCTCCCTTTAAGAGGAATTAATCATTCCTAATCACTTGAACAATCTGAATTAGAAAGGTTTTCAGAAATAAAAAAATACTGTAATTAATAAATACCACCCTCACTGAAGGCTGTTTTTGTGCATGTAACTATAAATACAAAAAATAAAGTTTTTTTCTTAAGTGTTCTATCTCTTGAGCAAGGAGTTTTCTGAAAAGGGTAAATTTTGGCTGTGTTTAGAATAAGGCCAGGGGCATGTTTGTCTCTGTATGTCTTTTTCTGATTGCGATCCTGAGCCAGGATGCTCCCATGAATATATGGCCAGTACACCTTGATATGCGGAGCAGAGAAACAAATTTTAGCCCAGTTCTGTATGCTTCCCCTCACTTCTGGGACTGCAAATAATCATTTACTGGTGGCCATTCTGAGCCTTGCTGTGGGATAAAGATGTTCCAGCCCAGGTGCTTTTCGTCCCATCCTGCTTCAGTGTATGGCTTTAGAAGAGGGACGAAGGCTTGGAGTGAGCCGAAATTAGCTTTTTGTATTGTAGTTCATAAGGAGGTTATGAATGAATTATGTCGTGTTGATGAGTCAGGTGAATACCCTTCTGGATTCAGGGGCATTTTAAAATGTAGATGATGTGCTGTTGTGGAGGCAACCCGTAGTCCCAGGCTGCTCAGGAAAGCGGGAAGACTAAAATGTAATACACAGCCCAGAGGTGTGGTAAGAAGCACATCAATTTGGCTGCTGACTCCCAGAGTATGTGAATAAATACCTCCCTCAGATTAATGCCTTTTGAGCAGAGCATAATCAGCTACACTAATTTCAGGCTTCCACTAATTGAGTCTCTACCTGGCTCCTCTTGCAATTGACTTTGCCATGATCAACGTGATACATGCCCAAGTACATAGCTCAGACAGACGAAGCAGGATAAACGAGCTCTGAAGAGAAAGAGCCTTAGCCTCCTTGAAAGAAAGTATTCAGGAAAGTTAACAAAAGCTGGGGAGAAGATTTTAATCACTTTTTTGCATGTTTAAACATTAATTGCATAGTATTGGAAAGCAATTTTTTCCCCTCTTCTGGTGTTTAAAGTCAGATAAATAACTTTATTTGTTAAAATACTGTAGGTTTTCAATTTCAGGCAGCTGTAAGTTATGAGATGCTTTCTTGTTAACAGAAGAGCAGTTGTGCCTCTATAGAAAGTTGAGTTGGCAAGGGAGTCTGCAAGTGAGAACAGGTGGAGGTTTTTTGTTAAGAATTTCTAGTTAAACTTTATCAGCTGACTTTTGTTTATAGCTTGACTGTAATTTTCATAAGTTTGAATCGCAAGTGTTCTTGTCTTCAGACTGGCCTCTGATATGCAAGTTGCTTTATGTTTTGTTACTCTGTCTGGGCTTGAGGTAGTTTAGAAGAATATAAGAAAAAAAGACTGACCTAAAAAAAAATAATAATAATACAAAATGCATGAAGTCTAGGCTGTTGGCAATGGTATCTCCTTCTCTGGAGAAATAAAGTAGTTTCAGTAATGAAATATAAAGACTGAAGTGCCCCAGACTGTCTCAATAATTAGAAGAGAGGGAATTCTGATTGAAAGCCGTTTGTAAAATAGCATAATGAATTAGGTGGCTGGGGTAAAGTAGGCTAATAATGAATGCATTATAGCGAGTGGAGTGACTCTGCAACCTACTTTCAGCCTTTGCTGCGTATGCAGTTTTAACATGTTAACATTATTTTTCTTTTGTTACAATAAGGCCACAAAGACTTCAGGTTTGAGACCAATGGAACAAAAAGATACTAAAGCAGTACAAGAATTAATCAACACATACTTGAAACAGTTTAATCTTGCTCCTGTGATGGATGAAGAAGAGGTAGCCCACTGGTTCCTGCCTCGGGATCATATTATTGACACTTACGTAGTAGAGGTAAAACATGCCCTAACTACTTCATGAATGTGTATGTGAATGCCACTTACAAAAATTCGTATCAGCATCAAGTTTTTGAAATGTGGACAATATGAAAAGTGTGTGCTATAGGTAGAGTTTGATATAATGATTCCAGGCTTTGTTCTTTGTATTGGATTCTGATAATGAGAAAATGTTTGGCTGTGATAAACTGCAGTGCTCTTATAACAGGATATTTTAAAGAAACTGCAGTGTTTTTATAACAGGATATGTTAAAGAATAATTTTTGAAATCTCAGAATGTCACTATCTTGGAAATATTACAGCAAAGAACCTCACATATTTTAAAAATTACCCTTCCACCTGCATTTCTCAATCTTTTTCCATAGAGGTATGACATGGTAATAAGCAGTGGTCTTCAAATCTCCTTTTCTAGAAAAAAGGAAAAATGCCACAATGACTGAGATAAGGATTTGTTTTGAATTCAATATTATTCTCTCAGATGTCTAAGATTTTGCCATACACCAGTTCAAAGTTCTTTATTTTTAAAACCAATTTTAGGGGCATCTGCTGAGGGAATTACGTTTTTTGACGATCTGCTTCAGTAAAATATATTTTTTTCCAGTAAAAGAGTGTGTGTGTATATATGTGTATGAATTTGTGTGTATATATATGTATATGCATGAGTATATGTAAAATAGAGAAGTAAAAGTTAACGTCTCTTGGTGCTGTCATGAGTTGCTGTCAGCTAGGTGTTCTGTTATCTTGAAAATTATAATCCTTGTCCACTAACAAGATGGAGAGCATCATCTTTTCCTACTACTTACTCTTCCCTCCCCACCCTACCACTCCCACCCTTCAACCTGTCGATCACAACGCTTCTGGCAAAATAAACAGTGCAGGATGATGATGATTATTATTGCGGGATGATTATTATTATCAGGGGGTTGGAACCAGATGATCTTTTAGGTCCCTTCCAACCCTTACCATTCTATGGTTGCGTTTGGATTGGGAATCTCCAAGGCATGGTTGGAATAGCTGCGATAAAGCTAATGGAGAAAGATATACTCTTCCCTTTGCATCCATGCTAAATCAGTCGTAAACATTGTATTTAGATAGTGTATTACTTTGTTTAAAATTATAAGGTTATTTGAAAATGGTCAGCACTGACATGCTTAAACCTACCAGCTCCTCACAGAAACTGTAGGTTGTGAAGCTCAGTGTCCCCACACTGCAACCTGAATTTGTGCAGGAGTCTCAGCTGCACTTAGAAACTTACTGCTGCTGGAGATGAGAGGTCCTGCTCATCGGTTGCCATTGTCCAAGCTTAGCTTTCTACTTACTTTATCGTGGGTGTAGTGCTCATTGGACTCTTCCATGGCCTAATTTGATTTATTATCCCTCCTTCTTTCTCCACCCCCTCTTCTTTCTGCCCACACTCCTTGGGTTGTTTTTTGGCTTTGTTGGTGAGTCAAACCCTACAGAAGAGTCCACAAGCACCAGGATCAGCAGGAGTGTTCCACTGACAGTGCCATTTTAACTGAACAGCACAGTCTTCACTTGCTTGTTTGACACTGTCTCTTGAACTGGTTTTTCACTATACAAAACGTAGGTTTGTTAGTGCTTAAAATCTTTTTAAGACCGGTGTGACGTGGAGGAGGTACTGTCAGATTTTTGAGTCTTCTTTGTAATGTGCAGAGCTAAACCATTAACATAGTCTGCATAATTCTTGAATTAGTATTTTCATCATCCTTTCTGAATTTAGTGAGTGACTTAATAACTTTTCTGTTATTTGTTGTTAGTTTCTCTCTACTACAGAATCTGTACCTGCTCTAAGACAATAGCTTTCTTGGCATGTGGTGGGTTCAACTCTTTTACTTTTTACTGTAGAAGTACTATCAATTTAAGGATCCATGTGAGGTCCCTCATTGAGCTCAAAATAATGGGCACCAGTCATTCAAAAAAAAATTCTATACTTTTTTGGAAGTGTGCTTTGTTTATAGCAGGCTAAGCTTGGGAAACAAACTGAAATGATTTGGCACTTGGTTGTCAAAATGTTATTGGTGTAATAGACTAGAAAAATATAAAAGTTTTCTTTTCTGAAGTGACCATTTCATGCTTTAGTCTTGGTTTGATGTATAGGTAAATCCTTGGCAAGAATTCAGTTTCTTCAAATCTTAGCCAGGATTACCTGTTATACTATAATACTTAACGGTGTGCAAAACTGTGCTGCATTTATTACTCACTTTCTGTAGAACTGCCATGTTAACCTAACCAACAACTGAGCGGTTACTTCTTATTAATTGCCTTTTTTTTTTTTTGTAGGGCTCAAATGGTGTATTAACAGACTTCCTGAGTTTCTACACATTACCTTCAACAGTGATGCACCATCCTGTTCATAAAAGCCTCAAAGCTGCCTATTCCTTTTACAATATTCATACAGAGACCCCCCTCTTGGACTTAATGAATGATGCACTCATTATAGCTAAATTGGTAAGTTGTGGAGGTTTTTTTTCCTGCTCTTTCACAAAAATATTTTTAGGAGTGGTGGCAAGGTAAGAACTGGCAGCAATTTACCCATGCCATTGCATTCTTGTTTTCTTTTAGCGTCTAAAGTGCAGGGTGCAGTTGATGACACATATACAATATATATATTAAAATATAAAACACTCTGCTTGTTTTTCATTTTTACTTTGAGTGATGCTAGGAAATGACAAGTGCATGAAGATCAAGTGTTTGCCATAGCTTAAACTGTGTGAACATCCAAGAGCACACTGGTGACCATATTCACTAAGTATTAGAAGAATAGAAAGTATTACTGAGATAGTTTCCCTTGGGGATGAGTTAATAAGTTCTATTAAATACATTTTGTTTGTTTGTTAAAACTTTTTTTTTTATTTCTACAAAGCGTAAAACCTTATTTGTGCAAGGTTTATCATTTTATCTTGTTACTAGTTGCTGCCTGTAAAGCTCTGTAGATGTCATGTTGTAGCTTTTAAGCACACCTTTGTGCATGGAATTACATTGATAGATGGTTTAGTTGAATGGAAGAGACTATAAATGAAGTTTTTAAACATAAGAATTGTGTCAGTGCAGTCTGATGAAAAACTAACGCTTGGCCCTTACTCATCGGGGTTTCATGGGAGTGCAGTGAAAACACCAATGGCAGCGTAGTCTGTGGTATGGAGCTGCACATCCCAGCACCCCAAATGAATTCTCAGAGACCTGTTCAGCATTTCACAGCACTGCACAGGCTTCATGCAGTCTGTGGTATCCATTCTAGCAAGCATTCCCAACATGCTGCAGAGCATAGGCATGTTTTCTGCTCCTCATGCTTGTAGCTTGCCCCTCCCAGCCGAAGTGTTGCTGCCGCAGTGCTCATGGTGTTACACCAACCAGATGAGTGCTCAGTGCAAGCAAAACGCCAGCTGTGCTCCAGCTGACCGTGCTCAGAGCCGTCTGCACTGCATGTGGCACAGGGATTTCTGCGTTGATCCTGTATGAAGCCAGTATGAATCCTGTGTGAAGCCAGTGCTGGTTTGCAAAGGCTGTATCGGTTCAGACTTCAGGCTGCGAAAGCAACCACATAGTCTTCAGCTTGTCTGTCTCAGCCATGTTCATGCAGCACTGCAGCTGAGCTGGTATCGATGACGTGAACTGCTTGCTGCAGCCTGCTGACCTATAAGCAGTATGGACCTGAATAACTGTTTGGCAAGGAAAACTCCTGGATAATCATGGGGAATACAGAACCCCATTATTCAGCCTCCACAATAATACCAAAAGAAGTTCAGAGACAGACTTTGAAAGGTGTTAAGATACATGAAGATACAGGAAGGTGGCTAGTATAATTTTCAGAAGTGGCTAAAAATACTAGTACTACTTATTCTTAAAAGTCAAAGTGGAAAAAGGAGTAAACATTGGTCTCCATTTGAAGTGTGGCGTAGGGAGCTAAGTGGCTGGCCGTTCTCTAGGCCACGGATGGAAAAGGTGAGGAAGCAGTTACGTGGTCTAACCGCAAGGCTTTGCACCTTCCTCTGTCTGCATTTCTCTCTGAATGTGATGTGTGATTCTTTTATTTTAAATGGATCATCATACAATTAGAATACTGCTATTTAGATGCCTGTGGATATCCAGAGTACCTGCTGGGCCTGTCTGCATCGTTACATGCCTAATTACATTTGCAGATCCAGCACTTGGACTTTTAGATGAGGAGAGGTGGGGCAAGGGAAGAGAAATTATAAATGCACTCCTATTCAAAGCTTTTGTTTACAAATGTACTGGGTCTGGCTGGGATGGAGTTAACTTTCTTCCTAGCAGGCCATATGGTGCTTCACTTGTCAGCCCTGTTTTAGTCACAAATACAACACGCCAGTGTTTTGGCTGTTGCTGAACAGTGCTGGCACAGCCTCAAGGCTTTCTCTCGTTCACCCCCAGCGAGTAGGCTGAGGGTGGGCAACAAGCTGGGAGGGGACACAGCCAGGACAGGTGACCCCAGCTGACCAAAGGGATATCCCACACCATATGATGTTGTGCTCCACGATAAAGTCTGAAGGAAAGGAGGAGGATGGGGGGATGCTCCTGGTTATGGCATTTATCTTCCCAAAAAACCACTATGCACACGGAGACCTTGCTTTCCAGGAAGTGGCTTGACATCTGCTTGCTGATGGGAAGTAGTGAATGGATTCCTCTTTTTGCTTTGCGTGTGTGTGCAGCTTTTGCTTTCTCTGTTAAACTGCCATTATTTTGATTCACAAGTTGTCTTGACTTCCTTCTATTTTCTCCCCATCCCATGGGAGAGGAGTGAGAAAAAGCTGGGTGCGTGTTTGGCTCTTGGCTGGGGACAACCCACCACAGACCTTTCTGTACTTTTATTCCCAGAGAATGCGTTTTTGAGGTATGAATTCAACTCAGCAAATTGCTTTCAGGGTTTGCGTGTCAATTTAATGTTGATTTTTATCTTCATATTGCACGATATAAAATTAGTTTAGAACTAAATCTAGTAAAATCTTCGCAATTATAGGACAAAATGCCTGAACTCCAAAGCAAAACCCAAAATTTGGAGTTAATGCACTTAGGTTCCGTGTATTCTGCACGGAGAGTGTGGGATTTTGCAGCAGGATAATCCCCCCAAAACCCTGTGTATTTTATTGTTGAAGCTGACACTAACTTTCTAGCTCTAGAACAGGAGAAAGCTTATCAACAGGGAAGAAGCTCACTTCTGAGTCTGCTCTAATGGTCTGGCAGAGCTGTGGTGCAAGTATCTTTGAACAGGAACTTTTTGATATCTTTCAGAAGATACTAACCTGAACCTAATCTGCTAATGTTTAGATACTGAATTAAAACTACATCTATAGACTTTATCATTTATTTGAATTTTGAGTGCTTAATTGCAGAGCTTCACTAATGTGTCTGTATGTACAGTGTGTCTCTGTTCTCTCCCGCTTCCCTTCCTGCTTTCTGAGATTTCTGTTACTGTCTATTACTAACTTGGAATATTCAACATTTACTCTTTAGTTGCCAAGTGTCAAATCCTTGCCACCTTATTTGTCTTGTTTTTGTGTTTTTCACAGCACATTTAACTTAGCATACGATCATCTGCACACAGAATGATCATTGTGTGAGGTAGTGGGAACCTTACTAAACTCATTGTCTGTGCTTTGCGACTTTCTTTTAAATAGTCCGAAACTGATGGAGAGCTTAAAATGCTCTTTTTCTTCAATCTCTTTTTTTTCCTAATATGGAGTGCTTATTTAAAAGGAAAAAAAAAATACCTCTGGTTTTTATACTGAGTAAAGAATATTCCTTACCGCCTTCTTGTGCTTAAGTAACTGAGCGTTATTGTTTTGTAATTTATTTTTATCTTAGAGTATAGAAAGTCCTGTAGGTGCATTGCCTTTGTGCTGTTAAGACTCCAAGATCTTAGGTCAGACTCCCTTGAAGTTAATTGCACATAAATAAACTTACTATATATCCAGACCCCCAAGCAAATTCAGCTATTCATACATAATGATTGTCACTGCGATGGCTTAACTGACCTTGGTTTTATGTTGCTTGTTAACAGTTCAGAGTGAGTTGGGATTTGAGTATGTTTGTGTTGCCACACAAAACCCTGAGACTAATTCGGCTACGTGGCTGTTCTGAGAGCAAAATCACCCTTTGAGTGATGAACTTGGGAGGCTGATGAAAAGAGGAGTTGGTAGAGGGTGCATGAGTAGGGGAGGGAGACTAATGTGAAAGATGAGAATTCTAAAGACAATGGCATTTCAGAAAAGGACCAAATCACAAAAATATGATGTTTATCGTTAACAGGGATAAATGGCTGAAAAACACCATTAGCTGTATTTATGCAGCTTTAGCTGGAGTAGGCTATGTGTGTCAAAACACTGTGTGCAACTGTAAAAATGCGTATCTATAAGGATAAAATAATGGGTAATGCTTCAGGGACTCCTCAGACCTTTACCCCTGAAAGTGGCTTTAAGATTCCTAGCCTTTGGAGATAATCTTCAGGCAAGGTTGTGACTTATACTTCACTTTCTATTAGGAAAATTACTTTGTATGTTTATCTAATTATAACGCAAGATTTATTCCCTTGTCTTTTTTCCCGCTTAATTAGCCTAGTCTTTTGGATATTGTATGCCACTGTGTAAAGTATCGTTTGTGTGTCATTTTAAACTCTTCAAAGTAAAATTTAAAAAATGTTTTGCTATTGCCAGAAAGGATTTGATGTGTTCAATGCACTAGATTTAATGGAAAACAAAACATTCCTGGAAAAACTCAAGTTTGGGATTGGAGATGGAAATTTGCAGTATTATTTGTACAACTGGAGGTGTCCTGGCATGGAATCTGAAAAGGTAAGGGAAAAAAAAAGAGCTTCTGAATTCTGTTAGGTATAATGGTACATTAATCTACACTAGCCAGCATGGGCAGAAGTTTTAAAATAACTTTTTTAGTTGGTCATATTTAAAATCCATAACTGGGGTGCAGAAAACTAATGATGTTTAGATTTATTGCCATATTTGAACTAAAATACTATATTTCTCTTCTTCCTTTAGGTCGGTCTTGTGTTACAATGAGGACACTTACATTTCTAGAACTCTGAGGTCATCGTTTAAGTTAATTTGATCTCCATAGCTCTTGCAACGGTATTGTTCAAGAGGAGTAAAAGCACAACATCAGTGATACTGAAATACTCCATTAAACCTGAACAAAGAAGACATCCATATGTGACCAAATTTATGCATTTTCAGATAGATCAGAAGGTCCACGAAACTCTTTTATTGTCCATGAAAAGAATAAAAGCACATTCATTTAAGTTTCAAAGCTTAGCTTGCACCTTGATGAGAAGAAGGTATTTTTTTTTCCACTCTGTAGAAAAGACTGTTTTGTACAAACTGAACTTCAGTGGTGGATTAGGGTACAAAAATATTTGCTATTATGTGGATGAACTGCTGCATTTCTATTTATTAAGTGGTGGTGTATGTTTGTCAGTGTAACAGAATGAAGGATACAAACTTGAGTATCTTTGCTTATTTACTTCACGTGGATATCATCATTTTGGGGGAAAATCATGAAGTACGATACGTTTGTAGCTCTATGAAAGTCCTGGATGTTTTTGTAACTGGAGCAGTATGACAATGTACTGGTGTTTAACTAGTGCATTTGTTTCTCCATAAGCAACGCTGCCAAATCAATAAAATTACAGATTTGTACTTTGATCTTCAATAGATCAGTGGATTGATTTAACAGTATCGCACTGTTCAGTGCAAGTGTTATATCTATGTTGCCGGAATGATAATACATTACTGTACTTAATTTACAGTTGTGGCACAAAACCTTAGTTTTTCCTCAGTAGAATACCATCAGCCTGTGTGTAAAACTAAGAATTTTAGTAGTGCTATCAGGATATTTATAGTTTGAATGTTTTCAACGCTTCTGCGAAATTGCACATACTCCTTTGTCTACTTTGATTTCCTATGAAGTCTGTAATTCTAATGAAAAGTATCTTGTGTAAATACGTATTCATAAAATGTTCCTGGTAGTGTTTTTATCCTGACTTTGGAACAAGAAGTTTCGCTATATACGTGGCTAGTAAGCAGAAGAGAAATGCTCTACCCTCAGTCCTTGGAAGTCTCTGTCCTGCGCTTCTTGAAATGCAGGAGGGCTGATCTTTGTTGTTGCAGGGAGCTGTTTTAACTCCCTCATGAATGCTCGGCAACCAGAGCGGCTTCTGAAGCGCTGTACATGCATTCCAGCCTACCGTCATAGCTAGATATGATAGCAGTTCTTTCAGCTCACGGATGCTGCAGTAACGTGAGCACCGGGAAAATCTGCAGTAAGGAACTGTTCTAGCTGAAAGTGCCAAATTGTGGTAGTGGAGCCTCTGTGCTGTGAGCATCTTTTGAATGTTGACTTGAGTATCTCATGAAATGCAAATGTCTAAACTCTCCTTTTAAACATGCCTGTAATTCTGACAGCAGCTTTTGCTGAAAGTTGAATTCTGTACCTGAAAACTTCAATTTAGATGAAGATGAATTTGTCTGTTCTTCGTAACTGCTAGCCCTACCCACCTCCTTATAGCAGTGGGGTTTTTCTTTCTTCCCGTGCCCTTTCCAATGTGTGAATGGTTTGTGGTTTGGTTTCTTTTTCCTGTTGAAATGTGGTGAGAGGATTCTGCCGTAGAGACAGTGATAAATATTTTCCCTTATCGCGTTATAGCTCTGTGATTAAAGCATTCAACCTCCTTTGAACAAAGGAAGGGATTGAACGTGGTTTGTCTGACCCCTGGGCGTGCACCAGCTCGGGACCTCATGAATTTAAAAGGGCTTCAGAGACCTTTCAGACATCCAGTGGTGCAGTTGGGCTTTACAACTTTGGCCACTCTGATGCCTGTCTGCCAGTAGCAGTCGTAACAGATGATGGTGCAGAGGGAGCTTGGACTCCTTGTGTGAGGTCTGAGCAGAATTAAGTGCCTGAAAATGTAATCGATGGTAGTGATAACTGAGGTAACAAGTAGGATTTAATCTCAACTCCATTCAAGACTGAAGTTCTTAACTCTCAAAAGGCAAGAAGATGCCTTCCTGGCTGGGCATTTGCATTGGAGCCCGCTGGGATGAGGAGGAGGAGGTGGTTCATCAAGGGGCTCAGTGCGTTCTGCTTTAGCTCTAAAGGCAGAGCCTTGGCAGTCTTCGCTCAGCTGCTGCCCAACATGAGGTGGGACAGCAGGGCGTAGCTCTGTCCTCGTGGCTAAGGCAGTTCCTTGCTAAATAATGGTCCTGGCCCAGCCCCCCCTCATCCGGATGGGTGGGCTTGAATGCCAGGTGAAAGATAAGCTCATGTTCTCTGCCTTCCCTCCCCTCAAAAAAGTGCAAGCGGAAGAAGTGGTAGGCAGACATTTTCTAGTCTCCTCTCCTCTCTGAAATCAGAAGGCAAATCCTCCCCAGTACTATTGTTTGGGAAAGCACTGAGGCCATGATGGGACCAAATACGTCCAGGTAGAGGACAGACTTGAACCTGGGTTCCCTGCAGCCTGGCTTTCTGCCCTGATCTTGGGGCAATTGCACATGGAGGAAGGAGTGTGGCCACTCTTGGGCCACCTTCTGGGAAAACAGTGCCATTTGCTTCTGAATCCCAGGGGTGAGCTTCTCTGTCTTGTTTTTTGGCTCAGGATGGTTGTTAACTGAGGGAAAGAAAAAACTTAGGGGGGGCAGAGAGCACCAGGGAAGCGGGCACCTCAGCCTGAGTGCTGGGCAGTTCCTGGGGGGGTTCTGTTCGTGAGCCTGTGTGTGCTACCTGACAGCTGGGTAATCCAGCGTGGCCTCTTCTGTCCCTGTGGAGCACTCAGATGTCTTGGCTAGCCATGCTCTTCACCTCAAGTGCTTTGCTGAAGTATCATGGCGTCAAGCGGCTGTCAATCTTGAAGGTGTCCCAGCCTGCACCCGCGCAATAGGACAGTTACTCAGGAGGTGGAAATCGTGGCAACTGGCTCTCGGTTCCTAAGCAGGTACTTAACGGAAGGTTATTATCCCTGTGGGTGCCACTGTCAGCAGCTCAACAGGAGAGAGGCTCTTCTGGTATTTGCAAGGTTGAATCTGTCTGTGCATTAGGCTCACTATGAGCAGCTACCAGGTAAGACTCCTCAAAACCTGACAGAAGGTTTCACATAGACTGGCAAACGTAAGGCTCACTCCACCACCCTCCCCACCAGTTTTTTAATTTCTTTCCCAGAGTAACTTCCTATCTGCGTCGGGGACACAAATCCCTGAAGAGAGCTATCGACCTGGGCAGGCAGCAGTGTGCTTGAAAGACGATTGCTGCACTTATGTTCTTTACCAAAGCTAATCCTCATGCTCTGTTTAAAGGCTACGATTTAAATGCTACAGTTACACCAGCACGGGAATTAAATACCCTCGTGCTAGCATGCCTTCAAAGTTTTATGCATCCAAAACAAAGGACATGTATGAAGGACTGAAAAGGCAAGAAAACCTCGCCTCTTCTTGCCGCCCTCAGCCAGGGAAGTAAAAAGTTTTGGCATTGTGTGTCTTAGTTTTGTTGAAACTTCAGGGCACATCACGACTACAGAATCATTGCTACCACCGCCCTTCGTAGTTGGTACCATGAACTAAAGTCACTTCCAAGTAAATGCAAAATACAGAACTAGCTATCTGATGGCACTGGAAGCCAGGATTAGCAGATCTCTGAAAACTACAACATGTAAATTCCATCTTTAAGGAACAAGGAAGTAACTCAGTTAAGGCATTTTATGCTTTCTTCTACAGTAGTGTACTGACTTTTGCTTAAAATATGGAGCACCAAGTAAATTCCTAGGCTGTTGGTTTTGATTGTCTGAATTGCACCACTATTCCCTTTCCTTCCTACAATTGTCTCATTACGAAACTGTTTGTAGTCCTCAGTAAAACTAAAGGAAACTCGAAAGTTACGATGTGGTATGTTTTCAGTCTTGTAGTGGTTACAGCTGCCATCTACTTTACATACAACAGTATATGGCTTATTTCAATTACGTGGGAAATAATTTTAGACTCCATTTAGAAATCAAATTGAGTTTAGGTTACTTAACATTTTCTCACGGGACGTGTTAAGAGTTTGTATACAGAAGTCATTTTTCAAAATGCAGCAGTAGTAATTTGGCTTTGTGTATTTGAAAGTAAAGTTTTCCCTTCAGCCTCTCGGACACCAAGTATTAGATGGCAGCGAAGTCTTCGTACACTCTTGACCGAAACAAGTTTATTGTTCGCAGAGCAAACTATAGAAGTTCAAAAGGGAAGTCTGCCTGCGCTGTTACAGCTGTTTACTTGAAACAAGCATTGAACCAGCTTTAAAAGAGTTCTACCAGCATGGACCTTTGTTTAAATAAACTTTCGCTTTTGGTATCGATTTGTTTGAATAATTATACTTAAATCTCTTTTGCTTGAAGCGCATTAATCTGTATAAAAATACAAAGTTTGTTTAATGCTTTGCATTCACTCCAAAGAGGTACTTATGTCTTAAATTACTTTGGCATATTCATTACCAATTTTAACTCTGTGATCTCCAACTGCAAATGAAATATTTAACCCCAGGTAAAGACTCACACCCAAACCGGAGCAATATTCTTTATTAAAGCACAAAGTACCCCAGCTGAATGCAACACAAAGTTGTATTCAAGTGCTTTATACTACAAAGCCTAACAAATAGTTCAGTTAGAGCTATACTCCATTAAAAAAAACCCAGTTTATTATGAAGAATCAAACTAAAATCAGTTATGCTGAAAAAGCCTTTTTCTTTTTGCGAGGTGGTTTCTTTATCTTATTTGGGTTTGGAACAAGTTTCTTAATTTTCAAAGGCTGCAAAATGACATGTGAAAGATCGAGCTGACTGCTTCCTGAACGCTTCCGCTTCTGGCTTGTGAGCTCATCCCCCAGCGCCTCCGCAAGCTGCTCGGGTTCCTGGTTTTCTGAAGAATCTGTATGTGCAGAAGCCATGGATTCTTCAGTTCTGTACTGAAACCATGGCACTTCCAAAGCTGGTATCTTTGGAATTATTGCTGCTATTGCTTCGGTAAATTTATCAGATTGCTTTTTAAAGCCTAGTGCTAAAATGGACGTTAAGCCAAGGAGCGGTGCAACTGTTTCACTGAGACGGGGAACTTGGCCTGCTGGAGTGGCTCGACTGGCACTCAGCTGAATCAGGTGCGATGTGATCAGGGCGGGTTTTGCAGACTTGCACACCAGCAAGAGAAGAAGTTCATTTTTTTCCAGCGCTTTTGTAACTTCATTAACTCCAATAGCAAGCTGTCTTCTGATACTTATGTCAGTCCATCCTGGTTTTTGTTGCTGGCCTTCTGTCTCCTCCTCTTTAGGAAGCTCACTGGTGCTGGCATCACACTTTCCTTCCATTTGTTTTTTTGTAAGGGAATGCTTTTTCTTTCTTGGAGTCTCAATCTTTTTAAGTCCAACATGTTTAATCCTTTCTTCTAAAGTCTGTAGTATAAAATGCATATCTTCTCCATCTATGGTCTTCCACTGAAAAACAAAGGGGTTATCTAGACATGTTTTTACAGTGATTTTCTTTGCTTTACGAAGTGTTGCTGTCCCTTGCGGAATTACAGACATCCTGAGGTTCTTTTGTGTTTTGCCACCGTAGCTGTGAAGGGAAGAAAGAGGTAAGCATTATTTCAAATACTGTACCGTTTGCTGTGGACATCATTACCAGGAGCTTCTCTTGGGACTGAAGAAGAGAAACATCACATCTCAAACTGATACTGGCAACAATCACCCTCCTCACATTAGCTCAGTGCTAATCCTGAACAAATCTTCCACAGGGCACAGGTTGTTCAGCTTTTTTTTTTTTTTTCCTAATAAATAAAAAACAGCAGACTGGACAGCAAGGCAACCCCACTGACAAGACCCTTCTGAAG